CCCCGTGGGGGTGGCTAGATACCGAATGAATGGTGTGACTAGTCGAGACAATATTAGTTCACTCTAAACCAGACGGACAGTCATTACTAAGACCTTCAACTTCTTGTACGATATTTCTGTTTTATTATATCTTTGTTATTCTCCTCTTGTGTTCGTGTTGTTCTTCCTTGGTTCTAACCTTGGACCATAACTGTGGTGCGAGGATATTGGGCCATAACACTGTCCGAAGTTCATATTTTGTTAATTTTGTTCAAGTACTTTCATTTTTTCCAGTCATTATCAAGAACCGATGTGATGTCTGTGTGGTAGCTTTAACTCTTTTCTCTGCATTTTGGTATTCATTAGGACACTGGATGTTTGAAATGGTCTAACGGGACGTCATGTGTAAATGTTTTGGGGAACAAGACAGTACAAAACTAATGCGAATTATTTATTTTATTTTATCGATTAATTAATTTATTTGTTAATTCTTAATCAGTCAGTTATGTGGCATGCGTGATACACGCTTAGGCGATCATGCATCATTCGATGCATGACTGACAAAGCAGATTTTTTCCCACAGTAGGTTGATATTTCTTTCTGCAGTAGACCAGTTGACATCCAAGGCTATAGAACCCGGTCTATCCTGCTATTTACCGATAGCTGGTGGCGGGGTTGGATTCATACCTTTCCCAAGGGTATTATTAGCACGTAAGTGAATGTAATGGATTCGACTGAAATTTGAACTCGGCTCTCCGATTCCTCAATCCGAGCCGCTATCCATAACTCCATTTTTAATACTAATATATGTGCGCACATTAATTATATTATTAGGAAAGGCATGAACCCATTTCTTCCCCCAACTATGGGTAGATAGCAGGACTGACCCGTCTCTATAGCCTTGATTTGCAACCAGTCTAAGAGAAGGAAAAATCTGAATACAAACCACCTTCTGCTCTCTAGGTCCTGTCTCTTCAACTTTTGAGAGGAGGAGCAGGATAACCTCAACATCCCCGATGTAAAGGAACTGGCAAGTCATTGCACTATTCTGCATTGAATGTCACCATTAACCACAATTGTGAGAGGGAGGAGAGTGGTGACCACAGCGGCGTAAAAAATGCACCAATTGAATATTAATTTAATTAATTTTAATATTTAACGGATATTTGTGTGACGTTCTTGAAGCCATTTTTAATTTTTTTTTTACAATGCTTTTAATTTCTATTTTAATTTTTCCATAAAGTCAACTTGTTCTCATTTTCGAACGTTGTCTTCCAAACCATGGTAATCTGTGAAAACAAGGTTTTCATTGGTCCAAAGAAAATTTCACATAGGATCGCGAATTTCTTTCCATCTTCTACCTCAGCTCAACCAAATTGAAGGGAGTTGGTAAAGGGGGTTATTATTATTTCGAATCCATCCAAAAAATCAGCAATCAAAAGAAAGGAAGACATGAATATGGAGGCCTTGGTAGTACCTGTCGTTGACACACATACTCCTATAAACATTTAAAATAAGTTATGCCTTATTTCCCTTGTGCAATTATATATTTCTATTCAATTCATGTCAATATTTATATCCGAAATTGAAGAAATAAATACAAATAATTATACAATTAAATAAACGATGAACAAACATTGCTTAGCATAATGAAACCTCCAAATATCTTATTGCAAATATTTTATAGGGAACGCATATAACCTGAAATTCAAATTGTATGCTTATATGACAAATATATCCTGAAAATTTAATTACGAAAATATTCACTCGTATTTTTAAAATCTGACACACTCGTATAGCATTATAAGTAGGAACAAAGGAAATTATTGAAAACTTTGATATGCGAAAAATTATTCGAAAATTAACAGAGATAAAAAAAAAATCTTCTGTTTGGAAGATGAGACTAAAACGACAGCTAAAAGAATAGTACGTACAGAAACCTTATCACTAAATAAAAAGAACAAAAGAGAAATAATCTGTCTACAAAATTAAATAAATTAACTTTGAAAACAAAAAAGCTGTAATTGCGGCAAGAAATACAAATTATGATTGAAGAGATAGATATTAATACAGAGTTCTGTAATATAATTTAGGTTTGTTTTGCTTTACGGCATATCAACACCTCAGTGGGTTATTTAATACCAACAAAATATTTAGGATAGGTTCGTATGAATAGAATATGTATTCTTTGTAAAAAATCAGTTTGTAGATCAGGTTTTTTGTTGAGAGTCAAATGTGTTGCCAGTAATATTTTTTTCAAAAATGTATTACTGGAATTTTTACTATAAACATGTATTTTTATACTTTCGTAGTATTTTCACCCAAGTTTGGGGGTTAACTATTTGCCCATAGCTGGGACCCTAACAGGTGCTACCACTCTGGATCAGGGTGGAACTGGAAACAACAGCAATTAATAGGTGGTCTGTAATATGGAAAAAGTAGTTCTATCTGTAAATATAAAGCTAGAAATTATTTGTTTAGTTTATATGGCTATCAATACCGAACAAATTGCTGGACCCTAGCGGTGGAAAATTAGTATAGGAGTGTAACTTGATTCGCAGATGAATATGGGATGTGACACTAACCACTGATGTCATTAGAACTAATCACGGGTTGATTATGAATCAAAACTTCTATTTCCGGCCAAACTGCAGAGAAATATATTTTTGTTGGGTTTGGAAATACAATTTGGAAGCGCATTGGTAGTAACTACTATCGGCACAGGTATTTATTAGAACATTAAAAATTGATATAATCTATTTTACATATCGATAATGCTTATGCTTAGAATATTGATGCCACATAAGGTCCGCTGCCCCTGCTATTTACCTTGAGCTCCTTGATAAAACCCAAAGAAGGATCAGCAATATTATTGGTCCTGATCTGACGTCTCGGCTTCAGTCACTTTCCCACCTGGCTAGTGATTCGTAGGACCCTCTGGGTTGGTAAAAGACATTGTTCGGTGGGCTTGGAGAAACCTCCAAACTGTGTTCGCTGTGGTGAAAAAGTAGAGGCCCTGGGTCATGCCTTCTTTCAATGCATGGCCGTAGTTCCGTCGTGTAATTTTGTTGAAGGCATCATGGTTCGCATGCTGGGCGGAAAGTTCTTCGTCTTCGAGGACAATTCTGCCTGTAGTAATGTGGTACCGTCGTTAACGAAGTCTGAACACTATGTGTTCTTTTGCCTGCTAGGTGTTATGAGAGTCATGATTTGGACGACACGTCAAAAGGGATTCTAGTGGGGGCGGGGAGAACTTCACTTCTTTCCCACTGATCTTGTACTTTAAGCATCAGACGGAAATCCGGCGGCTCCTTCCATCGGAATTTGGCAAAAGGTGGGAGAGTCTTGCGCGATTGTGTCGAGTAAAAGGGACCGACATAGTGTGACACTTTAATGCCGTTTAGGCAATAGGATATTGACCTCACTGTATTGAACTTTGGCAACCCCACCCAAAATTAGGGTTGTTTTTGTGTCCTTCTTTTCTTCCTTCCTCTTAGCCTGGCTAAGGGACGTATGCGCATTGCTCCTTTTTATTTCTGACCCCATTTTGTTTAATTTAATTATGTTATGGGATCTTACCCATAATAATAATAATGGACTATTCCATACTTAATAAATACTGCGCCTCAATCAGTAGGCGAGAGGAGTCAGTAGTTCAAGTCAAGTCAAGAGTCTAGTCAGAGGCAGTCCGAATCAGAGTCGCGTTCAGACAATTACTGCAAGACATTGGAGTAGTGATACTAGTCGAGACTATATTGTTCTCTCTACTAAACCTGATTGTTCATACTAACACTTTCTACTTCTCTGTATATATTCCTGTTTGTAATATATCTGTGTTATTCCATATCCGTGTTCGAGTTCTTCATTATTGGTTCTACCTTGGTCTATCACCGTGGTACAAGGAACCGGACCATAACAAATTCCCTATTCTCTCTCTTGTTAGGTAGTCAGTGATGTCAGTTCGCTGGTAGATACCGGACGACTTTCGTTTCGAGTGTGATTTTCATATTTGTTGTTTTGTTTGAATCAGTGTGTTTGAGTGATTACTTGGGATTAATAATGGATTTATATTATTAAAGTCTTACATTGATTTCGTCCAATTAACTGATGTTTATGCTACATTTAAGGATTGTGGTGGAGGTTATTACTAATATTATTTTGTTTAGTTTCTCATATATAGTTTTGTTCATTTTTGTAAATATTCATTGGGGTTAGATTTTAAATTGTTGTTTTATTCCCCCACCCCTTCACATACAATGAAATATACATATGGGGACTAGTTAGGAGTTTCATAGAGACATTGAGGTATTATAGTGGATGTAGTAAGAAAGGTAAGTAAGAATGTGTTGTTTTGGTGTTAGAAATATTGTGATATGTTTGGGTCAGTGGTTGTGGCCAGCTAAATTTAAATTTAAAAAGGAAGAAGATCGGCCTTTTCCTCATTCTTCATTTTGGCCTTGTGTAATGTTTACAAATAAATAATGCTCTTCGCAATGGTACCTAGACTTTTGAATTCAACACTGTACTAGACTGCGTCGAGATCTCATCAATTTATACTTGAGCTGGCTAGATGTAACCATAAGTTCTATGTTAACAGTTTATTTTCTCATACTTCTCGCTTGTGGAACTCCCTTCCAGCTCCATCCTTTCCAGCTAACTTTAATCTGAAAATGTCTAAATGCAATGTCAATCGCTATGTATTGTCCTCCTGATTACTCTCTTCTCTTCCCGCTCATTATTAATGTTTCTGTTCCTAATTCTTCCACACCCAGTAACCCTTTGTGTCTTAGTGGCTTTACTGCCTTGCATGGGATGAAACTGATTAAAAAAGAAAAGAAAAAGATAAATAAGGATGGTTAAGGAAAACTCAGAAAGACTTAAATGAAGGTTTTTTTTTTGTTTTTTTTTTAAGAAAGGGAACATGCTAACGAAGTGTAGACGTATTTTACGTACCTTCTACCCAAACCTGAAAAAGGAATCTAGCGACTGTTATAAAGTATTTACTTTTTTTCTGTTATCAGGTCAGTCTAATAACAAACAAAGGACAGTCGCTGCAGCTGTAAGGGCCAAACAGAAGAAGATAGATATCTTCTCTGTTGGCGTCGGTAACGGAATTGATTACAACGAGCTCCGTCAGGTGGCGAATAGATGTAATCATGTTTTCACTGTGAACACATTCGACGACTTTGATAACTTTATTTCTGAGCTGACGAAGGAAACATGCAAAGGTAAGATCTATCTATCTATCTATCTATCTATCTATCTATCTATCTATCTATCTATCTATCTCAGTATATTCATTATCTATCTATCTATCTATCTATCTATCTATCTATCTATCTATCTATCTATCTATCTATCTATCTGGGTCTGTTCATTATCTTTCTGTTTGCATTTCGGGAGGTAATATATTTTTATATCATGGAGAAACCTATTCAAATACAGCAAAAATTAAATTTATTAAAAAAAACATAATGGAATGCTAAAAATAGAAAGAGCAGAAATTTAATAGTGTCAGCCGGATTGTGTATAATTGACGTAACAGGTAAATATGTAGTGTAGCTATGACAGTACAGCTGTGGCAGCTACGGAACGTGGACAGTATTTAACACCGTTTGACTGCAAAATGATTATGAGAAGCAGAAATAGGGAACACATTATGTCTAAAGTGGCAAATATTTTAGTTTTTTTCTGGTAACAGTAGTAAGGGTATAGCAGAAATATGTGCTATCCAGAGAAATATTAATGGCGCATAAAAACAATAAGCACCTACAGGTGATGCAAATCCGGAGGTTCCAGCGTTTAACAATTGTAATAAATCCTCAATAAAAAAGGACCATCATGCCATACGCCAATTAATTGCTTGTGTCGTTTAACTCATCAATCAACACACTGGAGAGTGTATACTGTATTACGTATGGCTTCATTATCACCATTATTGGCACCATGGCATCAATTACTGCACATCACTCAAACCAGAGGATATTATAGCCGTATCAGTGTCAGCTAATATCTTGTTAATGGAAAGATCTGACAGATGTCACAAATAATTGTTTCAGGTAGTTATTGTCCTAGTGATTATCAGCTAAATGAAGTGGACCTCACAAGGGTCATGGCAAACGACCCCGAAACAGAGGATCACTGATTAAAGTAGGATTTACTTTTTAGACAAAGATGACAACAAAAAGAACAATGTTCTCTATAAGATAGTGGTCACTACCAGCTGATAACAGAGAGACCAAGAGAAAGGCACGGAGATTGACGAAATTGAATATGTCATCGGACTATCTTAAGGATTCCGGCTCCGAATTTTAATTTAAAGCTGACATTCTCCTAGTCCAGTTGCCAACCATGGCTACAGATCCCAGACCTCCCTACAATTTACCCATAGTTGGAGGTTCTGAATTCAGAATTTTTTTTCTTATGGATGAATTGCAGGACACACTGGTTTGTACGGACTTGGGTGAAGATAAAAAATTAATAATAGATCTGTAGACCAAAACGTATTTGAGATTTACATGCACGATAGTAATTCTGGATGTGTGAGTAGTGTAACGGTTATTGGCGCGGAAAGTGGAATCTGCTAGACGGGTTAAAATTTCGGCCTAGTAAGGTATGTATTCGTTTCATCTTCCTTCACCCCAAATCTAAATCCAGGGTCTTTTCACTCCTGTTGGAAGACCCCTCCTACGGGAGTGGCTACAACTCTGAAAACATGGTTGACTATGTTTTCAGGGGTGTAGCCATAAACATCACATTTGGCCAATTGTGTGTTGGTGAAGCTATTTAACTCATAGTTAGTGTGGATGACCGTTGACCCTAAGGAGTTAACCCTCCCTCTGCAGACAGGTATCTGGTGGGTGGAGCCAGTTTTATTATCGGGCACTCGACTAATCAGGTTTTGAATTCAGAGTTCTCTTTTTCCTGGACCGGTTACCATCCAAAGTTATAGGAGTCAGTCAGCCATAACTTGTGGAGAAAAGATGGACTCATAACTTCCTCAAGGGTATTTGCACGTAAATGCAGGTAATGAACGCGACTGGAATTCGAACTCTACTCTCCGACTCCTCAATCAAAACCGCTGTTCGATACTGCCCCGTGTTTCCTGCTACGGATTAAATAACAAAGTAGCCAGGGCTCTCCATACTTCAGTGGCAACAAGTCTGAGAGAAGAAACACTTTGAATTCCAAACCTGTGGAAACAGGAAACCACTCCAAGATTCCACTCGAATTTCATGCCAATTCACAGATAACAAAGAACAGGAAATGTTCACCTATGCGCTAAACGGAGATGGAATTGATGAAAAAAAATTAATCCCCAAAAGCAGGTGTTTAACTGAAAATCTGTTTCACTGCAGAGGCGTTTGTCTGTGAGTAGTTTATAAAAACGTCAGTCTGTGGCTAACGTCTTTAACAACACACACACACACACACACACACACACACACACATATATATATATATATATATATATATATATATATATATATATATATCAGTGAAAATATTTTAAAATTGTAGTTAAATAAAACATATTCTAACCTAAACATCCCACCAAAATCTTTAAGTATACAAATAGAAAAATGTCGTAAGAATTTTTTGCCGTTAACAATAAAATTCAAAAAAAACCCCATTTAACAGATGTCAGAATTCGTTGAAAAACACATCTCTACCCTACCTAAACATAACCCATTTTTCGAACGTAACTAATAACTGATACAACAAAAGTTAATAAAAATGAACACGCTACCACCCCTTGTCTGAATGATTGGATCTCTCTGTATCCTTGGAAACAGTGAATTATGAATTTTTCTGTGCCTTTAAAACTTAGTAAATTTTAAAAAATACGTTATTCCAAAATTCGCTTGAGGATGAAATGGAACTAATGTTTTTAATTTAATTACAAAATTAAATTCGAAGCTTTTAACTTCCATTTTTGAAACATGGTTATTACTGTGTAGCGAAAAAAAACCTTATTCTAAATCAGTTAATTTATAATATTAATGCACTGTAAATTTACATTGAGCACTATTTTGCAAAAAATAAAAATATCAATAAGAACACCGGATTATATATCTTAGTGTACTTTTCTTTTATATATTTATATATATATATATATATATATATATATATATATATATATACTGTATATTTCCATGTATAAGACGACATTTAAATCCCAAAAATCACCCTTAAAAATTTTATACTAAAATTCTAAAAAAAGAAACCTTAAATTCTGAGTGATGTTCGTTCGTCGCTAGGCTAACCTCGGCCTCGGTGCGATAACCAATAACGTACATGAAAAAGATTCACATTCTCAAATAAACTGATGATAAAAGTAATAAAAACCATTTCTACCTTATATATTACTGGCATAACTTCATAATAAATTGCCTATTCGAAGAATAATTCCTTATCAATGAAATCAAATTGTATGCATGTAAGGTCAGCTGAGAAAATGTAAAGATTGAGTTACGCTTGCGTTCACACCAATGGAATGTACTATTGTGGTACATTATCGTCCTGTTATTAGCGGTATTTTGTGATTGTCGATGAAGTATAAGTAAATGGCCATTAGTGCACCAGGCAGTTTGTAACTGTTTAGATATAGGAAAAGAAGAGGAAGAAGAAGAATTAGTTATCGCAAGAGATCACGTGATAAAAGGTAAATAAAAAAATATAGTTTCCCTTTTAAGGGGACGTGTGTAGGAAAAACATGATACAGAATCGGTTTTGTTATTTCGTTTATTTCAATTTATAAGGATACAGTAAGTAACAGCATTTCCAATAGCATCATCTTTATATAATCAACAAGTATCATCTTATACTACATGTATAGGATAAAATCAGGAAAATTTCCTATATTTTTTATCTCGTCTTATCTAAATATCGGAAATATACGCACACACACACACACACTATATATATATATATATATATATATATATATATATATATATATATATATATGGGTAGGCAATCGGGGCTCTCAACAGCTTAGGCTTTTGTTACTCTAAGTAACTTTTGGCCTTTTATCATCCCTGTTTCTTCTTATTCTGCATCACATTCCCACAAACACCGTAAGCAGTTTACTGGTCGTTTCTCCTGTATCTTTTGCCTTTACCATGTCATGTGACTGTTTAATTCTCCAGAAACTCTTTCATTTACTGGTTGTAAATTGGATGCCTAATTTTTGTGCTTCTCAAGCGAAAGCCCACGTGACCATACCCGAGTCCACCGGAAACTCAACAAATGAGAACGAGACCATCGTAGTAGGCGGAAATATTACTGGAAATGAGCGTAAAGGTGGATTGGTAATCGATCCAGACCCAAAGAACAACACAAAAGGACACAGCATTATAGTAAGTTGATTCTCTATGTTTGAATACGGAATATTACATTCACCCCTTCACCAATATTGGGGTTATTAAGCTAAAATGCTCGTTATCATTTTCACGAGGTTTTTGCATACAAACGAGATTTAAACGACATTAAATCTTAATTTAGTTAATAGATTGTTAAGGTTTTGTTTATTTCCGCAATTTGTTTTGTTTATTTTAGTCAATATACAAACAAGCATTTGTAGTTACTAGTTTTAACCTGTGAAAATTTCACTGTTTTTTAATTTGACATTTCTGATGAATCTTAATTCTTCAGTTAATGAGTAAATAAGCTCGTGGTGAGTTCTACATCAAAAAAAAAAAAAAAAAAAAAATATCCATAGATTTTCCCTTATCCCATCGTTAAATATTTGAGCTTCAAAATTTAACAAAATATTGCAATAAATATATGAAGAATGTACAAAAGAAAAGATTTGAAATTGACAATTTTTTTCAATTCACTGAAACAAACGATAAACACTTTTATCTTTCCTTCTTTCTTTTATTTTAGTGTCTCCCTACCCCTTTCCACGCGATCAAAACGGAATACTCCATTATTTAAGAGGGATTAGCAGGAGACTTCTTTCTTCTGTCTTTCTTTAAAGTGACTTGTTAACTCATGTTAAGAAATTTCGAAACAAATATCTTGTGCGATTCCTAAAGTAGATGATTTCTTTACCGTATTGGATGGGGAGACGGTTCTAGCACGCGGTAAGTTTTCGGGGCGACTGAAAATCATACCCCGGTTTGCGAAACCGGGTTTCCCAAATCGTTGTGAGCGAAACCGTGTTGCCCGATATTTTGTGAACGTACCTATGAAACAATTAAGAAGTTGTCAATTGTTGTGGCAGTTGCGAAGTAAAATGTTCTCACCTAATGGGAAAATAGAAGCTCTTTGGCTTTGACAAGCGATCTATTTGGAGACAGTTATCCCTCACCGCCCTGGCTACGTTTGGGGGCTCTATTAGCTTAAAATATTCTCAATAACTCAAATTCTTAAATAATGAAATGAAATAAGTCTCTTCAC